ATGCATTATGCTTTCTGATTGCTCACTCCTCTCGCCTCGTTCTTGCATCGTTCGATCACCCCACTCCTCTCTCTCTCTCTCTCCTCTCGTTCCTCTCGCATCATCGACGAGACATCGGCGAACGACCTGGCGACGCACGAGCTCGATTCCTGCAGCATCATCTCGAGCTCTCGCAGCTCCTCCGTCTTCTCCTGCAGCTCTTTGTGCGCCAGCTCCGCCTTTGCCTTCAGCTGGAGGAAGGCTGGGCTCTCGCTGGGAGGGAACGCGTCCTTGAGGTGCACCTGCGGGGCTGTTCCTGGTCGCTGGACGTCGAGGAGCCGCTGAGGAGCCGCAAAGTCTCTCATCTGCTGCTCCACCAGCTGGAGGGAAGCTCGGAGGGACTGTCGCATCTCGCGCGTCTCGTTCAGACGCCTCACATGCTCAGTCACCTGCTGCAGCTGCTGATGCGCCTGCTCAAGTTGCTGCAGCGCATGGTCCCTGTCGGCGATCAGCTTGAAGTTCTGCTCCCCGAGCTTGCGCGCGCTCCTCTCTGCTCGCGACAACCTGGTCTGCAGCTGCTCGTTAGCCACCTCCAGCTCAGCGACCCTTGCTCTCAGCGCCTCCTCCTCCTCGGTATCGACTAGTCTTCCTCCTCCTCCCATCAAGTCTTCCACATGTCGAGTCGTCTCGTCCACCAGAGGTTCAGCTTCCGCGCGGTTGATGATGGGGACGTTCTTGATGTTTCGAGCTCTGTTGGCGTACTTGAGGGTGTTGAGCGTCTCCTCGAAGCTCGAGTCTGCCGGGCTGATGCATGCGATCATCACCGTCCTGCTGTTGCCCCCCAGGCTGTCCTGCAGCATGCGAGTAAGTTTGCTCTCCCTGTACGGCACGTGCGTCGCTCGCTTCTTCTCATCGCCCAGCGCGCTGATGACGTTGCCGAGGGCAAGGAGCCCGGAGTTGATGTTCACCGACTCCTTCAGTCTCACCCCCACGTTCCCCGTCCGCTTCGCTCGCTCCGAGCCGGCCAGGTCCACCAGGTGAAACTTGGCTGTGATGAGCTCCCTACTCTTCCCTCCTCTCTTTGGCACCTGCTGATCGATGGTGATGGTGAAGATGCTATGAGAGCGTGACGACTGGTTGTTCATCATCGTCCCAGCGACTGTCCGGCACAAGCTTCCCTCGTCCAACGCCCTCTGCATCTCCTCCAAACTGTTCACCTGTACCTCCTTCACCCCAGTGAGGACGATCTTCCCGTCTCCTCGCTCTCTGATCGCGATGCTCTTGGACGACGTCGACGGATGCAGCAGGTCCTTCATCTCCTCGTTGTAGATCTCGATGTACGACACCCGAACCTCCAGCTCTCGTCCGGACAAGAACCTGTCCTCCTCTATCCTCTGGAACATGTCAGCCATTACCCGCGGTATGATCCCCATCTCCTCCTCAAGCCTGCACGAGTTGTTCCCGCTCCCCATCGTGTAAGTTTTCCCTGCTCCTGTCTGCCCGTACGCCAGAACCGTCGCGTTGTATCCCTGGAAGCATCCGTCCACCAGGGGCTTCACCCATTCGCTGTAGATGCTCTCTTGCGAGGAGGAAGGAGGATAAACAGCATCAAACGTGAAGACTCGATCCTTCCCGAGGACAAGAGAGGCTCCCCCACTGAATGCGACGCAAGAGCGGCACGACAGGACTGTTTCTACACCTAGCAGGGGCCTTGCGCGCGCTACAACACGTACCGGAAGAGCCTCCTCCTCCTCCTCCTCCTCCTCCTCCTCGCCCATGAGAGTGTCTGATGCCGATGAAGCAATCCTGATGGCTCCTCCTCCTCCTCCTCCTCCTCCTCCTCCTCCTCCTCCCGCGTCCCCGATGTTCAGCTCCTCCTCGCCTTCCCCTTCGCTCACTTCTCCCGCCATTCCTGAATTCTTACTCAAATATTCAGTTGGTTCGAAGAGTCTACAATCGAGTCCGCCTCACTGGCTTTATTAGTCCGACAAGAGAGACAGAGTTCGGACTGCGCAATGGCTATTGAATGACTATCGGACCTTTACTCAAAGTTAAGTTAAAAATCAGTACGAGGACAATCAGGAGAGTAGAAGGACAGTAACTTGAAGACATTCCAAGTTCCTACAAGTTCCTTGTGACAGTGAAACTTCCGTTTCTTTTCATCATAGTATCCCCTTGCACCCGGCACTGAAATGATCATGGCATAATACGTGACGCTACCGTAGTACTATCATGACGGTTTCCGGGGCCAGACCGCCCTGGACCGCCCCCGGCCCGGCAACGGTGACTCCGCCCCGGGTACCGAAGGGCCGGGCCGCCCGGCCGCGCCCGCCCGGCGCCTGGGCGGACTCGGACCGCCGGCACTGCGGCAGGCCCGACCCGGCCCACCGTCACCGGGGACTTTCAAGTACTCAAAGTGGGCATACTTCAGTGGGGCCCTCGTCCCTCCTCATACCTGGGGGCCATGGCCGCACAGATTGCCGCAGGCAGGGCCGTCATGGCCTGCGCGATGGCCGCAGAACTTATGTTGGCAATGGAGTCCAGCCGTCCGGCAGCAATGCAATCCTGATCCTTCTCAGCCCCATCTCCCGCTCCATGTCATCCCCCCTGTCCTCCTCCCTCTCCTCCCCCCTCTCCTCCTCCCTCTTCTCCCCCCTTTCGTGCTTTTGTTTCTTCTCGCCTCCTCCTCGTCTCTTACTCGACTCATCATATCGCCCTCTCTCTCATCGCCTCTCCCTTGCACACAAAAAGTCAAGAAGTCCAGGCTCTCTGAGCAGCTCGCTTCGAATGGGACAAGCAGAATGGCGGGAAACTTTCGATCCCTACGGACAGGGAAGACTGGGGTGCATGCCTTTCCCTATCGAAGACATGATCCTCCCTGGAGAAACTAAGAAACTCCATCTCTACGAGGCTCGGTTTCTCGCGCTCTTTGAAGAAGCTCTCAAGCTCCATGGGGGGTGTGTTGGTTCTTTGCTGTTCCTGGAGACAGGAGAGCTGGCTCAGGTTTCTCCTCTGCTGCAGATCGAGGAGTGGAGGAGGCTGGACGTGGGGGTGTTCGTTGTTGTTAAGAGCGTTGGTCGCGTCCGGATAGAGGCGATCACGGGCATGGAGCCCTACATCTCCGTCATCGCCAAGGACTACCATGACCAGCGCATCGTGCCGGCCCATTCTGACGAGCAGGCAAACAACAACGCGATCGTGGAGGACATCTTGAAACTGCACAGCGACTGTGTGAGTACCTGTGAAATTTCCCTGACGCGCCTGCTAAGGTCTTGCTGGCAGATGTACCTCGCTGGGAAGCTGACACAAACGTCTCCTTTGCCGGAGGACAGCTCGATGCCGTTGTGGGGGCACCAGAGGAGCGTGAACGAGAATTTCTTCCTGGTCGACCTGAAGCTGCAGGTGGAGATGGGGCTGAGGCAGATCAAAGAGAACCAGGTGACGGAGGACGATGCGACTGGTTGCGCGAGTGACTCTGATGTTCGTCAGACCGGGACAGAGATGTTCTGGAACTGTTCCAACGCAGAGGTGAGAGCTTGAGGGCTCATGCGTGAAGCCTTTGTTTGACTGGAAATCTTCCTGGCAGGAGGAGGAAAATCAACTCATTTCCTTCAGTGCTGTATGACTTGCCTTGTGCTCCTTGCTGCTCGCTGATCCCTGCCATACAAGATGTCAAGCTCCCCACCAGAGGTTCGGCTGTGGGCATTAGAACAGTACTATCCTCCCCTCCCTCTTGCCTCTCCCTCACCCGCTCTACAGGACCAACACAAACCTGCGGCTCAAGGGAGCGCGAGGAGCGTTAGAGGAGCAGAAGAAGCTGCTCGCTGCGAAAGCCGCGCTTTGTAGCCTTTCGAGAGGAGAAGACTCGACGGGCAAGGAGTCGTAGCAGGTCTCGGATGCTGGAGGGTTGACGGGTGAGAAGGAACTTCGGGAGGCAGGAGGCGTGCATGTAAACTAAAATCAAATGATACAAACAAGCCATTCTCGCTTAGAGCGCCGCAGCCGCTGCAGTTGCACAGCCACGGCCGGGCCCTCACTTGCTAAAGCACCCGGGGCCTGGAGCAACTGCCGAGCTCGGGCTGAGCAACTCAGTGAGGGACTCGCTGGCCGAGTAACTGATGAGTGCCAGCGGCCGGGGCCGCCGGGCCGCCCGGCCGGAGCAAGCGAGCCCGGCGGGAAAGAGGGGGATGAGTGCCTCAATAAACCTCCTGATCCCCTTGCTTCCCTCCCTCCCCCCTTCCTCCTCCTCCTCCTCCTCCTCC